TCTCATTTTATAATAGAAAAATTTCTTTTGCCCCTTCTCACTTTAGACTCACAAGTTCATTAAGTCACCTCATCTGTACGTGGTGTATTTGTGAGAACTGCAGAACCATGAGCTCAGTGCTTAGCACCAGATATGGGGGTCTGAAACATGTTCCCCGTCTTCCCCAGAAGACTATGAGGCATGTCTGTAGGTAACTGTGGCCACATATCTTTGGTAGTTTGCTGGATCCCTAGGGCTAATTTATGTTTCCTGAGTATTTTGCTATCATGAGTTCAAATCTGACCCCCAATGAAATAAACAAAGAAGGTGTCACTAACATCAAATGAGCAGATCACAACTATACTAGACAAATAAGACCCTGCCTCTCATTACAGGGTGAAAACACATTTTATGTCTGAAAATTTGGACTGTACACCAAGTTGTAAGAGACACAATACATGTTAGTTTACCTTCCATAAGAAAGGAGAGAAGCACAGACCAAAATAATGGTTGCACCAAAGCCAGCTTGGGGAACATACGAATTTTTCTTGGAGTTACTAACAGAAGGAGGGGTGAGGGGTTGCTTTCTGAACAGTAATACAGGCAACTGTATCACTGAAAATCCCACCCCAATATGGTGACAGTTCACATGGACTGTATTCCTGGAACTCACACACCTTGCAAGCAGCCTGACTGGTCTGAGTATTTCCTCTCCTGGGCTAAGCAGGTGGAACTCTCCTCCTCCAGCAGTCCTTTACTAGTCCTTCAAGAAAGCTGGGGAGGGAATTTTCCAGACATGAGAGGTCTGTTTGCTTCCTGAGTCTCCTGAGCCACTCAGCCCCCTCCTGGAGGGCATGTGACAATCCTGGGAAAACTACAGTACAATAACCACAGATCAGAGGTTAGAGTTATTGACAAGACCATGGAAAACACAATTTTGTAGGTATACACGTTAAATCTATAAGTATGAATAAAAGGTATGGAATTGCAGGGGAAAAGTAAATTCCCAAGCTTTACCCTAAGGAGAAACCCTGTTTGGTGGCCATACCTGAGTGTGTTGGGCTTTTAGGTCAGGGTCCCTCTGGTGATGCAAGCCTCTAGGGGAAATGTCTGTGTGTCTGTGGGAACTCTAATGGACAGCTTCTGTGTGTGTGTGTGTGTGTGTAGCCCTATATCTGTGTCAGGTCTCTGTGAGATGTCTGCACTGTCTCTGTTGACAGCCTGTGAAATCCCAGCTAAAGGAGTCCATGTGTCAGGGCTTCTCACCGAGAAGTGAGTCAGCACAGGGGTATTGATGGACACGTCCTGCTACACGCCCCTTTTTCTGCCTCCTGCCTGAGAATCGACCTGGCTGTGGACTTGTATTGTGAAACCTCTGTCATCTCAAAACAGAATGAGAGCAGCCCCCTCTGTCTGCATCCTAACCCTCCCCTCAGTGACCCCCCAACACCATGGTCTTATCTCTGGTGCAGACCCTTAAGACTCCTCAGAGCCACCATCACGCTGTTGTCTGTCTGCCTGCTAATGGCATGACTCACTATTTTAATAAAATCCAGACTCTGAGGAATCCATTTCACTGTCCCTCTTGAGTCATCTTCTGAGAGTTTTCATGTGATGCTGATGAGGTCCTGTTGACATCTCACCTAGTGACTATGCGTGACTTTTGTAATGGGTCTTTCCATGGTATCTCTATGTGAGACCTCTAGGTGTTCTGTGTGGAACTCCAAGGTATGATTGAGGTCTATGGGAGATGGCATGCTCTTCCTGTATAGTGAGAGGTCTTTGTGGGTGGGGGAAGTCTATATTGTCATCTTTCTGAGGGTGCTGTATGAAGTCTGGAGTCTGGATGATATCACCGTATGGGACACTGTGTGGCACACTGAGGCCACCAAGTGACATTTATATCTTAGGGCTCTGAGAAGTTTCTGAGGTCTCCCTTAGTGTCTGTCAAAAATCTCTTTGGAATCTCTGTGTGGCTACTTAAGTTTGTGACTTTTGCATGTTGTAAGATCAATCAACATTTAGAAGTCTTTTAGAGGGTCTTTGTCAGGACTTCAGTGTGGATATCTCTAGGGGTATTTCTGTGTGAGTGTTTCTGAAAGTGTGTGGGTAATGTCACTCTGTGAGGGTCTTCATAGAAGATGGGGCAGAGGGCATTCTGTGAGCAGGCCTGTGGAGGGCTGGGTGCTCCTCTGGGGATCTGTTGGGGACATGAAAATTGTGTGTTTGGTTTCTCTGTTGGGGAATTCTGAGAAAGTGGCTGGTTGGATGTCTGGAAAAGATTTTGGAGGTTTCTCTCTGTGGATTTCTGCCATGGAATCTGCAACAACCTCCTTCTGTGGGGTACCCTGGGGAGTCTCTATGGAGATGTTTGGGGATCTTTGTGTTTTGATCATGAAGCTCTCTGGTAGTTGTTTCTGCACTTCTGGGATGTTTCTCAGTGTGGATCTGTATCAGAAATTCTGTAGAGATCTCTTTGGGTGTCTATCATGGAGAGTTACTGTTGGCCCATGACATGTCTTTTATACTTGACAGCGTGAACAGTGGCAGCCCCATTGTTTTGCTGCCTGGTTTGTTGGCACACAGACTTTACAATTTGTACCCAGAGGACTCTTGGGACCAACTCCAAAGTCCTCGATGGACCCAAATGTGCCTCTAAGGTCCCTGAGAAGACTCGGTAGTGCCACCCTCAAGTTCCTGGCTTCACTCTGGGACTACTGTGGAGGCTGCTGTCACTGATACACGGCCACTTCACAAGAGGCCTGTGTGTTCCATATCCACTCCTTAAGAGCTGCTGAGTTCACTGTGGAGTCTCAGGAATTGGCTAGAACAGGCTGCATGACGAGGTCCTATAAATTGGTAGGACTTTCTGGAACAAATTTTTCTATCAGAGATTAAGTGATGCGCTGGAGTTATTAACTGGCTACCTTCTGTGAGGAAGTTGCAGGACACTCTTGTAATTGGCTGCTCTTGTATGCAGTGAGCCCCACCTGTTTCCTAAGAGAACAGAGACTGGGGCAAGGAGACCTGGGGAGGAAGCTGAGTGAGATTCATCAAGGGACACTTTTGGGCCTGCCCAGAGATCCAATGAGCACCTGTACTTTGACAAGTCCCTTCCACTGTGTAAACCAGCCCTGTGAGATGGCTTGTTGTGCTGGTCTCAAGGGTAGGCAAGTGCTGGAGGCCTAGAATGACTTGCTGTGAGAGCAAAGTGTATTCCTCAACCCTTCTCAGGTGTCCTCTCACTGGGAAGTAATGCTGGCACAATGGTCAGGATACAGCAAATCAGCAGAAAGACCAGGTGAGCTGGCCCTTAGGGTGGGGTCTTACAGAGTTGTCTTAGCACCCCCTAATCCTATAAACTTCCTGTTTGTTTGGGTCGTATAGGGTTGACTTAGCACATGCCAACCCAACCTAAAAGATCCTAAAGGCTTCTGTTTCCATAACTACAGTATTAATACTAAGTACAAAGATGGAACTTGAAGGTGGTGACATGTAAAATGTCACTGTCCCCTCTTTGAGGAGCCATATACTCCAGAAACAGCACTAATGTGGACTGTTGAGGACCAGGTCACTGTAAATCTCTATTTCTCACCCCAAGGCACTTCCCAAAACTCAGTTGCCTTCCCACAGATGGCCTGGCTCCATAGAGATAACCCATCACTTAACAATGCTTCCCTAACACCTGCACCCCCCGGTGAGATATCCTGCCCATCGCATATCAAACACTGCGGCTGCCTCACTTCTCAGCGTCTCTGGTCTAACAACCTCTGCCCCATGGCTCCACAAGGCTGTGAGAAGAACCTGCATTGATTGCCCCAACTTTACCTGACCAGTGAGTCAGATCCAGAGGAATAACACAGCAGCGCAAAGTAGGCTTACGCCACGGGACAAGCATTTAAGTAACCAACATTTGTTCATTAAGGGACTCAAAAAAGTCTCTCAAGACATGAGGAGTAAGGGTTAAAACCAAGGATCTTAAAATATATGCTTAGAGCTATGAGGCAGAAAAGTATTGGTCAAATGATCGTATGTTTACTTGTGTATATTTTAATAACCAGGAGAGCTAAAGTAAAGCATAAGCAACTACAGAATGTTTTAGAGTTTAAAAGTTTTAAAAGCTTTCCTCTTGCAGAAGCCACTGCTGCAGCTGTAAGAGAGCTGTGCCAGGGCTTGGGGAAGTGAAGGTGCCATCTCGCATACATGCCATGCAGAACAGCAGGAAACATCTGCCCCTGAACCGGTTAGCAGTGTGATAGAGACCTTGGTGCCTACTGAGTAGCAGCTAGATGAGAAAAAATAAACACGACAGAGAGACTGGGATGAGTGTAAAGAGTGAGTTACTAAGCATCAGGATAGAGAGTCTTCACGTCCCTCATTTTTAACTCAAAATACAGAGAGGCAGAAACCTAGTGGTAAAATTCAGCAGAAGCTAAGAGGCTTGAGAGAGTTAATAAAATGGCTCTCACGGAGATAAGAAACTTACAGGTTTCCTCAGATCAAAAAAAATGTCCTTTTGTCTATGATAATAGCAAGCATAGATCAGCCTAAGGTATAGACAGTCCTTGAGTCATGGCAGATAATCACAATGGTTCAGGTGCTCTCCAGTGCAAGCTAGTGTTAGAGAAGTGGTGGACAAAGGAGAAGTGTACATGGATTTCAGACATTTCCTATGACAGAGCATCGGGATGCTCAGGGAATCATAGACAGAGTGTGCATGCCGATATCATTTAAACAGCTCCCCGCTACCTCACTTCCCAGCATCTCCTGTCTAAAACCTCTACCCAATGGCCAATTCCACATTCCCCTATTGAAGCCTTACAGAATTCTCATTAAACACAGCTTGATCAGAAGGTCTGTCTTGCTGTCCATCTTTCTCTTGTCTCTTGTCTCATTCATTCCAGGTTCCCGTGGACTCAACCCTCATTGTGCCCTGCTGGTCAGGGCAGTAAACCAGACATTAATCTCCTGTGGCCTAGTACTAGAGACACGAACTCCAAATTAAACACACACAGAGGATGTAATGGCTAATATTTTAATTACTTCCAATATGGAAAAGCACTGGCCTTTCCAAAAAGGACACTCCTACAGTGGCAGTGTCTAGGACAGTGGATGGGGGTCTCTGGGACAAGTGGCGCCTGTGCCCTGTGCTGAAAGTAACTGGCTCGGGACACAGGTTCTCTGGAGACCTGGGCCCACTTGCTAACATAGGGCATTCCATTTGTGGAAGGTTGACTGTGAACCTTGGGGTTGGCTTGATGAACACAGGCAGTGTTTCCTTGTGCTATTTTTGATTGTGCAGTAGGAATCCTGTGGCGGCAGACATGCCTACTCACTGGAGCTTCAGGTAGGTCTTGATGTGCACTTTTCTTTGAAGGAGCACACCTATGGTGAACACCCAATTTCTCCTCCATAATCCACCCAGCAGAGGTCATGAGGTCCTGTGCTTCCGTGTCCTGTTGGGGCATGAGCAACCTGCTCTGGCCTGACCCTGGGCTTTGGGTGGTGCCAGATAAGGCCTTGACTTTTTGCGGTAAGTTCTCCGGTCCTTTGTCTTTTGGGTTCAAAATTGAAACAATGAAGCTTTTAATCTTGTCACCAAACTTTTTTTCATGGTTATTTGGCCAATAGGCTTGGACAGGTATTGTCCCTGAATGTTGTACATCGTGCCGGGAACTTCCATTGTCCGTTTTGTTATTAGGACCAAAGATATGACTAGTCAATGGTTCCTGAAGTTCAGAAATCTTGGTGAGACTCTTTTCTTTTGGATAGAAACGGTGTCTGTCCTGAGAGGTTGACTTAGTTGGAGGGGACTGAGTCTTGAATCTGGACTTGGAGGCCCGGGAGGCCCTGGAGGCCAGGATATCTGCAGCAAGCAGAACCTCTGGGGCACACTCCTGAAGGAATGTTTCAGTGGGACAGTCCTGAAGGACAACACCAGGGGCCAGGCAGTGAGGTGTGCTCAGGCCCGAGTCTTCTGGACCCTGTGAAATGGGTGTGGAATGGGATGGATTTTCACTGGTCTCCAATGATTCACTGTGGGTTGGAGACTTTGCCATCTCTACAGCTTCTGTGGTGAGTGCCCTGTCAGAGGACTCTTCCTCTTCTGCCTCTTCCAGATGCCTGGTATCCACACCACTTGGTGACTGGGATGCCACACTGATCTCCCGAACTAATACCCCTTCGCACATTTCTCTAAAAGACGCATCCCCACTCTCCTGTGACTCATGCACACTCTTGACTGGGCCTGGAGTAGACTCTGGCTTGTCTGACCAATGTCCATGAACTCTATCCCTGTGCCAGGCTCTGCCCACGAGACTCTGAGGGGAGGATATAGAAGTCAGATCGCCCTCCTGGGCAGATTTGGTGGCCTCAGAGGGCCCACGGTTGTCACTAGGTGGAGGCTCTCTCAGCAATTCAAGCTGGAGGGCAGAAGGAGGGATCTGTGTGGAAAGTGATTCCACAGTGTTGGGTATTTTCATCACTTTCTCCTCTGGGGCTTTCTGAAAAGGTTCTCCCAGGTCACTGGCTGTTTTGTCAGTGCTGGCTTCTCTAGAGTCCCAGGAGGACAAGGAGACATCAGACGGCAAAGCTGAAGCCTTGTTCGCATTGAAAACATGTATGGTCTTGAGGCCTCTGAGGGACAGGCTCCATCTGTGCTTCACCAGGCGTCTTGTAAGATGTGTTTCCAGCACCTTCTGAGTGCTGGCGTCTAGGAAGGAAGGCCCATTAGTTTTCTTGCAGATGGTCACATCATTCAAGGGTGATTTCTCCCAAGATCTCATGTTTGTGTTTGAATTGTCAGGAGGGGCCAATGCATGGTCAATACTTACTCCTTCACAAATGGCCATGGGCACTTCACGGACTTTGGTATGTCTGTATTTACTACTTTGGTAGTTTTTCAGGATTCCTGCTAGCTGCTCCTTTCCTCTGTCCACTGGGGAAACACTCGGTGCATCTCTTCTTAGGGGTCTCATGTGGTAAGTTTCCTCCTCAGTCTCTGAGGTTTCCTGAGGAACTTTGTCTAGGGGACCTTCTGGCCTCCTGTGTAGATCTTTCCCAGCTCTTCCCAGGAAGTTTGTCAAACACTTGCCTGGATCCCGCCATGGATGGAACGTCTCTGGATCCTTTGGTGGGACATTCTGTGGATGCTGGCTGCTTTCATCTGCCAATGACGAGGGACATGGGGTCCCATGATTAACTTCTGTCTGACTCATCCCTGGAAGACTCTCCTGACACTTCCTTAGATCCATCTGTCTCTGGACCTTGCAGGGCCATTTCCCCTGGTGCTGTAGGAAGCTCTTTTTTAACTGTTCTTCCAACAGCTCACGGAAGCTGGGCCTAATGAATTCCCCCGGGAGGTGGACAACAGACCCATGGCCCTTGGACACCCAGGTGTCTGAAGTCAGCAGATTACATGCTTTCTGGGACCTTTTGACAATGGATGGTAATTCACTCCTACTTTCCTGGTGCTTCTTCAAAAGATGGAGCTCTAGGTGCTGAACAGCAAGTGGGACAATGAATTGAGATCTTGACAATGTAGCAGAAGAAGCCCCATAATCCTTAATTACAGGGGAACGGTGTGGCAGATTTGGTAGAGAGCATGAGTCACGGGCCTGGCTTTGGGTTGTGGCCACTGGTGTAGCTTGGGACGAGGACATCTTCAAAGTAAAAGGTTGGGATTTGACCGAGTGATGATGTACGGGCTTTGGAGAGAAGAGCTGTGGAGGTACTTTAGTTGGGACTTGTAATGGAATGTATGTAGAAAGTACATTGAATAAGATGGAGGGGAGGTCTTGCAGGGACTCTGCCATGTTGACAGTGGCCACAAGGGACTCACTGTGGAGAAAGGGGAGGCCCCAGAAAAGCTGGCTGTATTTCATCTGTGAATGGTCGCCTGAGACCTTCTGACAGAATAACTGCTGATAACCGGAAAACTGCTCTGATTTGCAGTCTCTGCTCCAGAAGGGGTGTGAGGTGGTGGTGGCCTGCCTGCTGCTCCAGGACTGCAGCATTCTGTCCTGGCAGCCCAAGGCATGGTCAGATATTTCTTTTCCTTTCCCTCTGAGCTCTACCCTCTTTGTAATCTGAAGTTCCAGCATGTTTTGGATATGCGGGTTGATGAAAGAGGGCTCCCTAGCCTCTATCGGCATGGATGTCGGGCTTGTCCAAAACGAAGCCTCTTGGAGGATGAGGGAAAGATGGTCTTGCAAGGATTCACCATGTGATGAGTTGGAGTTGCACCAGGTTTTGGCAGCTACCTGATACCAGGTAGGGCCTAACATAGGTGTGCTTGTTTGGTCAAGGCCTGGCTTGGTTGAAGTAGAAGTAATTAAGTGATCAAGGTCTGGGGTGCTTGATGTATGACTGTGTGTGGTGTCAAAGCATGGGGTGGTTGGTGTAGCCCTGCCAGAATAGTCAAGGCCTGGGATTGTTGACATATATTTTTTTGGTTGTTCAAGGCCTGGTTTGGTTGAGATAGACCTCTTTGAGTGGTCAAGGCCGGTAGAGGTAGAGGTAGGCCTGCTAGAGTCATCAAAGGCTGGAAAGGTTAAGTAAGGCTTCCTTGACTGGTCACGGCCTAAGGTTGTTGGGACAGGAGTAGGGAAACCTGGGAGAGGTTTGCTCTGTGAGTTCCATGGTGCTTTCCACTCACACTGAGGAGATGTCATGCTGGGGGATGGAGGACAAACCACAGGATCAGGAGGATGAGATGGGAGGGAAGGTGTGGGTGGTGGTGGTGGTGGTGGTGGTGGTGGTGGTGGTGGTGGTGGTGGTGGTGGTGGTGATGGTGGTGAATGGTGTCTTCCAGGTGTCAAGGTCTTTGGTGGCCGAGAGTCACTCATAGATGTTTGTGACTCGGTGGAAGCAGAAGGTGACAAGGTTTTAGAATCTTTGGGCAACAGGTATTCCTTGATAGGAGCTGAGGAAGCCACTAGGGACAAATTGGTGGCCACGGATTCCTCTGTTGACTGTATAGGTGACAGATGGGCTTTGGCAGCTTCTGGCTTGGACGCTTCTCCTGAGGCATCTTGTCTTATGAGCTGGCAGAAGCTGATGGCATTGACAAGCCTCCCTAGCATGCTGTGGCAGACAGGAGATATTATTTTAGCCAGGAGCCCATGGGGGCACGAGTCTGAGCAGTCTAAGTAAGGAGGGACCCTGGCAGATCATCACAACCACTGACCCACACTCTGCTTTTTACAAGATAACTCCTGTTATCTTAAACTCCAGGCTGTACTCATGCCCCACCCATCCAGAGGTCACTATTCCCTTGTTAACCTTAAGCTCCGACCCGGGGGTGATCACAGAACAGGAAAGAGGACTGAGGGGCCAGAAGGAATGGAGAGGGCTCACCTGTGCAGGAGTGAAACCAGTACCTTGTCCTCCTTGGGTTTCTTCCTGCTGCCTCTGTAAGCTGGAAATGGAGACTGGGTTACAGTGGGAAAAGGAGGCACCTGGTATCTTACCAGAACTGAATGAAATGTCCCTTCAGGAGAAATGGAAAGTTAAACAGGAGCTCAGGCAACCTTAGGTCAGCCTGCATGCCCAAATGCCTCGAGAGCAAGGCACAGGTGTGGCAGGACCCTGGCATGGATCAGGCACTTCAGCTTCTAAGAACCTTCATGGGTTTCATGATCTCCTTGTGGAGGGGAGGGATGGACCAGTGTTCTGAAAGAGGAAAATGTCTCAGAGAAGCTTAACAACCCTTTTGCCTGCAAATCCAGGCAAATGGTACCACTTCCTCTCGCACCATCATCCCAGGCAGCTCCCAGTCTTGGCTGTAGCATAGATCCATTCCGAACACAGAACCTGGGAAGTGTCTTCAATTCCTGGTTCCTTTGAAGGAGCAGCATCCTAGAGGGTTCTGCAACTCATTTGATATCATCACTGCGAGGTGGGGGAGGGAATTGGGGTGAAGTCACCTAGCAGGGAAGGAAGTAGCCTACCTCTCACGGTCCTGGTTTTCTTCCTGACCTTGCTGCGTTCTCTCTTCACCACCTGACAGAGACAGACAACACCTGCAGCCCCGTTCACTTATCCACAATGTGGGCAAACGTGGGTTCTCTTCCTCACGGAAAACACCAGTGGGGACTGTCTCTGTGATAGCCACCATGTTGTTATTGGTCACTGTTGTGCTCAGGAATTAGATGCTTAACTCTGAACTATCAACAGTCATTCCTGAGTTCACAGGTCACTCATGTCCTGGATCATGGCTCCCTCATATCAGATCCAATGACCCTATTAGCATGTGTTAGAGTGGTCATAGGAACCAGTGCTCAGAACTTTTCCTTTGTCATAGGTCCCTAACTGTCTCAGGATCACCAGCCCTGACCACAGAGACAAAGGGCTTCTCCCAGGTATGCATGGTGAGAGAGCAAACAGCTTAGAGCCCGCACAGGCCTCTGCCCTACCTGCTGCTTCTCAAGAGACTGGGGTTCTGCTCTCAGCTGAGATCCAGTCAGCCACCTCCCTATTTGATTTGGAAAGTGGAGCCTATGAAAGGAGAGTGGGGGAACTAATCTCCGTTGGTTCGAGGCCAAGGCATTCTTACCTTTTTAGAGGTGGTGTTTTCCGCTGGTGGGGGTGAGGCTGAGTTAAGGGGCAGGAGGGGTAATAAGAGGTGGAAGAGCCCCAGCCCACACACAAAGGCAAAGATCACGTCCATTGTCCAAGTGGTGAAGCTGGGGCTCAGCGATGAAGATTCAACGCTTTCCAGAAGAGAGAGAAAATTCTCCATCTGAATCGCACTGTTGCTCTCAGGCAACTGAACTCTGAGAGGTTTCTGTGGGAGAGGGCAGGTGAGCCTGGCCAGCATCACAGAGCTCCCATCTCCCTGTCACAAAGGGCTCCTGTGTGTTGGGGCGGGGTTGTATGAAGGGGTGAGGAAACAATCACCCCCATCCTCCAGCCTTCACAGATCTCCATCCTCCACAGCCTTTTGAGTCTCTCCCTCCACCTGCACGCTCTGTGAGAAATAGTGTTGTCCCTGTTCTGTCCCTCCCCTACTGCAGAGAGATGCTTGTCCATGCTCTGTTCACTTTGAAACCTCCAAGCCTCCTCCAGGGACATGCCTTCTCCAAAAGTTCTTACCTCTTAATCCCTCCCACACAGTTCCACCAACTGGAGATCAGGGACTCAAATATATGAGGCTGTGGGGTTTATTTAAACCACCCTTTCCATTCTCTGGGCCTCCATAGGCTTGTTGTGGTTTCATAAAGCAAGGTTCAGTCAGTCAAACTTCAAAAGCCCCATAGACTTTCAAAGTCACTACACTATTTCAAAGGCCAAAATCACTTCTGAGTATTGAGGTACTCTCTCATAAAAGCAACACTCAAAATACATGTTTCAACATTCAATGTCACAGAATACACATTCCCATTGCTCTCAGCACTTATGTATTCCAGGCTCATAGTAGGACTTCCCTTAAAGCCTTGTTTACAGCATTCAGTCACATTCCTAGTCCAAAGTCCCAAAGTCTTCCACAGTCCTCAAAATCACCAGCATGGTCAGGCCAGTGGCAAGAAAACACCACCTGTGGTACCCACCAACTTCTATCTTCGTTACTTTTGTATTGCTGTGAAGAGACACCATGACCAAGGCACTTTACAGAGGAAACAGTTTATTGAGGCTTACGTTTTTGGATGGTGGCTCCATGACCATCACAGCGGGGAGTAGGGCAGCAGGCAAGCAAGCACGGTGCTGAATTAGTAGCTGAGAGCTTACATCTGATGGACAAGCAAGAGGCAGAGGGAAGTGGCACCCTGAGAATTGTATTCCTTTTGAAACTCCCAAGCCTACACTCAACGATTCACCTCCTGCAACAAATCCATACCTCCTACTGCTTCCCAAGCTCTTGTTCCAACTCGGGACAAAGCTTCAAATACAGGTGCTTATGAGACCATTCTTATTCTAAGCATCACAGCAATGGAATTTTTTACATTGAATCTTGTAGGAGGAAACTGTGTTCTGCCGTTAACCATGTGACTTATTAGAGGCGCAACAGATGAGGTAATAAAAGGGCAGTTTACTGCACCACTAAGCATACCTACTTTAGGCATGACTAAAGATGTATATGGACGTAGACGGTGAACTATGTCACTAGCCAGGTCCACTTACGGAGAAAGGTATAAAAGACTGAACAGCGGAAGTCTAGCTCTCTTTTTCTGGCTTTCCGGCTTCCAGTTCGGTGGTGGAAAACTACTTGGCTCATCTGGGTTACTTGTTTGTCTCTTGTAAGTAATTTCTACAATAAATACTTATTTTTACTTTCAGTAAGTGTGCTGTTTATCGTTGCAGCATCAGGGAGGGAAACTGAAATATATCCATGTTTCAGTGGATACATATTCCAAGGTGGTTTTTGCATCCCTACATTCGGGAGAGAGGATTAAGGATATTATTTCCCATTGCCTGCAGGCTTTTGCCTATATGGGTGTTCCTGACATTTTAAAAACAGATAATGGGCCTGCGTATGCTAGTCATCGCTTTGTGGCCTTTTGTAAAGAGTATTAAATTAATCATTCCTTTGGTATCCCACATAAACCTTGTGGAGTGAACTCATTCTACCCTTAAACAATATTTTTATAAAATAAAAAAGGGGGAATATAGGCCCTCCCTTAATGCTCAATTATCCATCATATTATACATTTTAAATTTTTTGATTGTAGATAAAAATAATTTGTCAGCCATGGAAAGGCATTGGAATAAACCTTCCCAAACGTTGGGATGGGTCAGATAGAAGGATTTAATTACAGGATTATGGCAGCCCCCTACCCCTCTGTTAGCTAGGGTTCGAGGGGCTGTTTGTGTTTTCCCTCAAGGGAAAGAGAAACCCATTTGGGTACCAGAGCGATATGTTCGTGCTGTGGACTCTGATGCTGATATCCCTTCTCCAACTGCGATCCACAGAGGGACGGATGGTATGGGCACTGGTGAGGAATCCCCCAATATTGATGCCACTAAGTTATGATAGTTCTGTGTTTCCATCCTTTTATTCTACAAATTATACCTTGGGCCTGTCGGCAGCCAAAATGCCATTGGAAATTGCCCCCTTAAAGAATATGACCTTTTCTGCAAAGGGCGGTCTTTGCTTTGAGAAGATTTCTAATGTAGCCTCCATGACCAATGGATCATTTTCACTACCTTTGCGGGTATGTTCCTTTGCGGGCCACAGGCTTGCATTGATGTTCAACTCCTAGTTATGCAGAGGGGACTGGCGCTTAATGCCACCGCAAACTGGAACGAGTCCTCTACCTTTGAGGAATCCTTAAAAAATTAATTGGACTGCTGTTAAAAAATTTCTATAAAGAGTATGGCCTGCGTTTTGTCCCCCTTTTTGCTTGTAACCTTTAATGGGAGCTTGGGAGAGGATGGGTCTCTCAATTGTTCTTCTAGAAATTGTTCCCAGTCCAACTGCTGGCCCCAAGGGATTCCAGCACCCTGGTGGTCAGAATTCGGGCTCTTGTGCCCCTAGTGGTTGAGGATCATCATGAGGGACATGAACTTATCCTCTACAGACAGCAGAGGGACTACGGCATTACTGCAATGGTTGTTGCTGCTATTGCTAACTCAGTGACCGTTGCCACCATTGCCGAAATTGCTGTTGCTCAATCCGCCACCAATGCAGACACCATCAATCTCCTCGCTGGCAGAGTCAGTGAGGGCGGCCATGCAAGATACTCTGAACTCTCACATTCAATTTGGAATTCTTAATCTAAATCAACAGACTGCCCTACTCCAAGAACAGATTAATGTTATGGTTGGTTCAGCAAGCCTCCTGTTCTCATTTTTATCATTCTGCTTGTGTTACCTTGCTTGAGGTTCATAATGTTTCTGCTGAAGTTTCCTGCCTAAATAAGTTCTTGGTGGGACCTTGGAATGATACTTTTGTAAATGTCACCAATACTTTGGCTTACCAAATTGTAATAATAAGTCAGACTAGGGTAGACCCTGTTTCTGCTGAAGCCTGGTGGAATGCTATGACCCAGATCGGGGGTTGGGTACAGCGTTGGGGTGGCGCATTGTCTCTGGGGATCTTGGGGCTGGTTATGGCCGGGATGGGAGTCCTCGCCTTGTGCAGGCTCCGGCAAGTCTTCTCCCGCAGGGAGCAAGTCCATCGGCAAGAGTTACTCAGTTTGGCCCATGGCACTCCCGGAAGCCATGAGGTCTGGTTACAGATGCTCCAGAAGTGAGGGGTACCAATGACGGGCAACTCGTGGAGACATATCCCGCCTAAGACAGGGGTTTCAGGGTGCCTCCATGACGGCTAAGGGAAGGCGTTCTCTGCATGACCTAAGACAGGGCCCCTCATATAAAATAAAAAAGGGGTAATTGTGGGAACATGACCCTGATGAAAAAAGCCTATTTCCCTGTGGCAAGAAGCCATCCGGCAGCAGTAACCACAGAGAAAAACATGTT